AAAAATGGCTGTTCCACGGCTTCAGCAATGGCCATCTTGTGTGTTATTGACCGAATACTGGATGGTCTTGGCATGTCAAGACAATTACCGCGACCAAAAAAAAAATTAATTGCATAGTTAAATTGGGAGTGTAATTGTTGGTCTGGAGTGCATTCCAAATAATATTTTGATCATTAGTGGATAGATTCCTGAGAAAAGATTGGCGTGCTAAACGGGATGGTCGGGATCTGCCTGGTAAAATAAAAACTAAGGAGGTATGGGACATTGAGGGTGGTAAATATTCAGTGAGGACAAAACCATGACCTGGTTTTTGTTTTTCGTGGGAACGAGGTAATATGCATCTCTTTAACTACTCCCGAACCCTTGCCTGTTGCCTATTGCCTCCACCATTGAATTGCAGAAGGAATTGTAGTTGTGATTGTCATGGAGGCACAGAAGGCGCAATGCATTTGAGCAGGTACTTGCTTCTGGGTACCGCCCTCCCGTGAACTCCAGAGTTGGTGTTGGGTCGAAGCCACATGGTGGCTCAACGTTCATACATGTGACGAACACCATCAGATCTTCTAACTTCACCTTTCTCTTGGTTGTGCCTGAACCGTACTCCCAACAATCCGGATTCTGTATCCATGACAAAATCTCCCCAACACGCTGAAATCACCTCCTATTTAAGGTGGGCATTTGAACCGGGCAAGGAGTCCCTCTTCTCATTAAAGAGACCGAGAACCGCTAATGAACCGAGTGGCTCAGGTTTGCTGCAGAATTGATCTGTCAAGAGCTTGGGGTGCTTCTGGACAGACTGCAGCAAACCAAGGGTTGAGAGTCCCTCTCTCAGTCTGCCAACAGTCCCTCTCTCAGTCTGCCAACAAAATACTCATCGAAATTTGAATACTACAAAATAACTTACCATCGTCAAACGATTAAGATAGTCGCATCCAAGAGACTGGAGGAGGCCTAAAAGGGGCTGAAACTTCGTTGTGACGGCTAGCTCATTTTAGGCAATCCAATACATAGCACGAAGCGCGCCAATAATCGCCTTCCTGTTCAGAGCAACGGGACGTTGCAAGGCGGTGCCGATCCCTCCCTTGTCAACTATCGCCGCAACCTCCCTCTCTTGTCTTGCCGACTGTTGGTGGACGGTCCCTTTCTCATATCGCTCTACCGCGTCCAACCGGAAGCTGACGCAAGGTCGATCCGTCCACACCGGATTCCGTCTTTTCTGGTCCAGCGCTATGTGCCTGGTGCACCATTCACATTCCATTCCTGTAGCCAAACCATAAAGAGAACATAAAACGTTTTTGTTTGAAGCAAAAAAGTGCATGCCTCTTGTTGGTATATGTTTTTCCTTTTTATTCAGAGAATTACCATAATAATTAAGCACGATAACAGACCTCTTTAAACAAACGAAGTGTGATTATTAATATTGAAAGTACATTATGTACATCACAATGTACAGACACGTTAATAATATCATGAGAAATGACATTAAAGTTAAAAGAACCAATTGACCATGCAGAGTAAAGAAGAAGAAAACTTACCTTTTTGGGCAGTATATTTTAGCCAAGGTCGACTGGCTTTCCACGACTGGTCGAACTTTTGGCTGTGTCCGTGTTTTCTGGATTTTTTCAGCCTTGTGCCATGCTGCTCACCTACAAGTTCGACATCGGATTCGTCCTCCATGGCGCCAACCGGCCCCGGGATTTCGTCAACCTGGGTGTCCTCATGGACCTCTAACTCTTCGCGCCTTTCTTCGCGAGCCCAAAATGCATTGAAGTCATTGTAGGCCTCAGCTCCGTATACCTGGGTCTCATCAACGTCTGCTTCATCTACCCCGTATGCCTGGGTCTCAACGAGGGCCTGATCGTGAGCAGCATCTTGTGATTCAGGCAAAGGCAACGGTGGTGTTGGAGATGACAGTGTCTCCGACGAAATCGATTCGGATGACGAAGCGCGTTCTGGGTCGGCAGCAGGACGCCTCTCTTGGTTGTGCCTGAAATGTACTCCAACAATCCGGATTCTGTATCCGTGACAAAATCTCCCCACCACGCTGAGATCACCTCCTCTTTAAGGTGGGCAATTGATCCAGACAAGGAGTCCCTCTTCTCCTGGAATAGTCCAAGGATGGCGGAGGCACTCAGTGGCTCTGGTTTGCTGCAGAATTGATCTGTCCTGAGCTTGGGGTGCCTCTGGACAGACTGCAGCAAACCGAGGGTTTTTGGAGATAGTTTCTCCGAAAGACGAGATGGCAGGCAGCGGCGATGGTGATGCACTTGGTCAGGGGGTTGACGCCCAGATCAAACTCGCACAGTTTCGACACTTCTTTAAACAGAGTCCGGAACTGGAGACAGCATCTTCTCAAAATGTAGACGTCGCTGACACAATAGGCATGAATCTCCTCCGACATGATGAACTCCCGCCCAGACGATACTTCTCCATCGTACCATGTCAGAAATTCTTTCCTCTTCTTGCTGGACATACTCTCTGGATAATACTATTTGGCATCTGGCCTGGGTCCCCGATAGTCCATGTTGGCGTCGATGTTGAAAAGATGTGGAAAGAAGCCCTTCTTGACTTCTTCTACTCCGAAGGTGGCTGGCAAGGCAGAGAGAGGCATCGGTAAAAAATTCAAGGAGTCGATGAAACGGATACCATTGTTGGGCACGGTCATGCTCATAATCTTACCACCAGCCAAGATCAAACGGGGGATGATGCAGTTCCTGAATGAAAATTCCATCGTAATTTTTGAAGTTATGAGCGATGAAAGTAGCACCACGGTTCTCTTCTGTGTCGAACACCCATTCACAAAAATCATCGCCGGTGTTGGGTCCTTGAAACACCCATTGTTTCTTCTCTACCTTGTCGCAACTTTTACAATCTTGTTCAAATGGATTATCTGCGCAATAACCACAAGCTCTTTGTGCCACGCAGTAATTGGGTATATGCGTGCCGGTATCTTGTGTACATTCAAAGTCGAAAAATACAAATTTGGCGTGCTTTGATCTCTCGTCGTCGTTGTCTTGGGAACGGTTCTCATCTCGCTTATTCCTTCAAATACAGTGCTTGAATGAAGCCAGCCAGCCCTCATTTGATATGACGGGAAAAATGGCTGTTCCATGGCTTCAGCAATGGCCATCTTGTGTATTATGGACCGAATATTGGATGGTCTTGGCATGTCAAGACAATTACCGCGACCAAAAAAACCCATTAATTGCATAGTGTAATTGTTGGTCTGGAGTGCATTCCGAATAATATTTTGATCATTAGTGGATAGATTCAGGAGAAAAGATCGGTGTGCTAAACGGGATGGCGGGTATCTGCCTGTTAAAATAAAAACTAAGGAGGTATGGGACATTGAGGGCGGTAAATATTCAGTGAGGACAAAACCATGACCTAGTTTTTGTTTTTCGTGGGAACGAGGGAATATGCAACTCTTTAACTACTCCCTTGACTAAACCCTTGACCATTGCCTATTCCCTCCACCATTGAATTGCAGAAGGAATTGAAGTCGTCATTGTTATGGAGACACGTAAGGCGCAATGCGTTTGAGCAGGTACTTGCTTCTGGGTACCACCCTCCCGTGAACTCATGAGTTGGTGTTGGGTCAAAGCCACATGGTGGCTCCACATTCTACAAGTGACGAACACCATGAGGTCTTCCAGTTTCACCTTTCTCTTGGTTATACCTGAAACGTACTCCAACAATCTGGATTCCGTATCCATTACAAACTCTCCCCACCATGCTGAGATCACCTCCTCTTTAAGGTTTGCATTTGAACCTGGCAGGGAGTCACTCTTTTCATTGAACAAACCGAGGATTGCTGAGGCACTCGGTGGCTCTGGTTTGCTGCAGAATTGATTTGTTCAGAGCTTGGGGTGCTTATGTACAGACTACAGCAAACCGAGGGTTGAGAGTCCCTCTCTCAGTATGCCAAAAATATAATCATTGACATTTTGAATACTCCACATCCACCACCTGCACGACATCCACAACATCCTCTCCTCCTACTTCCTTCTCTATGTTATAGGAATCTAAAATCTGGTAAATTCTGCCCAAATTTCAGGGGAGTTTACAAGGTTTGTTATAATTTGAAGAAGGAATTCAGAACTATACATATATACTGCAAAATGACCATATTATTTGTACATGTTTGTGCAACAAGGAATTTTTGCTCATTTTGATCTGAATTAAAACTTATTACAATCCTGCCATCAAGTGGTAATGTGTTGGAAAAAGATTTAAAATATTTTGTTTTCATTAAATTAAGATTTGAAGAAGAAAAAAAAAATCAACAATTTAAAAAAAAATTTAACATTTGTTTTTAACTCCCAATTAGTACTCCCGAATAGTACTCTCATATAGTACTATCTAAAAATAGTTCACATATCTCTGGTCATGTGACGAGCTCTAAACCAATCAAAAAAGCCAACAAATTTTTGAAGCAGGATATACATGTAATAGTATTATTTTCATCATTCACCAAAACAGAACAAAATAACTTACCATCGTCAAACGATTAAGATAGTCGCATCCAAGAGACTGGAGGAGGCCTAAAAGGGGCTGAAACTTTGTTGTGACGGCTAGCTCATTTTTGGCAATCCAATACATAGCACGAAGCGCGTCAATAATCGCCTTCCTGTTCAGAGCAACGGGACGTTGCAAGGAGGTGCCGATCCCTCCCTTGTCGACAATCGCCGCAACCTCCCTCTCTTGTCTTGCCGAATGTTGGTGGACAGTCCCTTTCTCATGTCGCTTTACCACGTCCAACCAGAAGCTGACGCAAGGTCAATCCATCGACACCGATTCCGTCTTTTTTGGTCCGGCGCTATGTGCCTGGTGCACCATTCACATTCCATTCCTGTAGCCAAACCATAAAGAGAACATAATACGTTTTTGTTTGAAGCAAAAGAGTGCATGCCTCTTGTTGGTATATGGGTCATTCCATCGGGTTGGGTCATAAATTGTGACATGAAGGTTCAAAATTCAGAGTTGTTGAATAATTTGTTTATTGTTATATCCTGTTTTTAACACCCATTCTTCAATAGATTCCACTGGAATTGTGTGTATTCCTTCGCACACTTTCATTTAAAATGAAAAAACAGACACACCAAAAAACCAACGTTACAAGGACATCTTTTTTTACTTGCTCATTTATTTTCTGATCTGAAACTTTGTCACAGTCTGTACTCCACTTTTTTGTGTGTGAAAAACATTTAGATGATGGGAGCAATAGTTTAGAATACTTAAAACTTGAACACAGCAACATTATATCAATTTATAAACATGAAACAAATGAGGAACTAGCAATCTTCAGATCATGTTTTTTCTAAAGGGTAATCTTTTCTCTTGCATAGAAAATCTTGGCTACATTCCATGAAATGTGCCAATTAATTGATGCATGAAACATATTTAATGAGATGATAACACAATTGAAAGGAAACATGCAAGATTTATGGTCTATATTCACCTCAACACCTCCAGTTACCTATGTTACACGGACATCATGTCCGAGTAACATCAGTATGATATTAGAGTAACTATCCTCTTATACTCATTGAAAAATGACAGACTACATCAAATGTCATCTGAAATATATTTTATCCCTTGATCAGTAAATTAAGAAACAGTATTCATACAAGAGGTATATTGATAGATATCAATGATCAACTTTATATCTTCTTCAAAATAGTGATTAGATTGGAAAGATCTTTGTTTTCCAGGAAGGTTTCGATGACTGGTCATTTTGCCTGCTCTCTTGATCTCTCTCTGCCGGAGCTGAATCCTCAAGGGAGGTATAGGAGCCATGAATGAAATGGATGCAGCAATCTAATAAATATGCATGAAAAGAAATAAATAAAAACCAATGAGTAAAGAATATTAAATGAGATAAAAATAAAACAAAACTGTAAACTGTTTCTGTGATTTTTCATTTCAAACGTGTGTTGTGTTTGCAATTATCAAGTACTTCTATCTAGATCTGTTGTAAAATCAAATTGTAAGAATTAAGGATGGAACAACTAGACAGAGGATTGCAAGATGGATAGGGAGTTCCTCACTTTTGGCTCGTTGCATGCCCAAATAGAAGTAGGTATTATTATTGGTTGTTCATTTTGATTTTTCTTTTAAGTTTAATATTTGTGTTGAATTATAAATTTTTGTTAAAAAATTATATTTGTTATTTATCATTATTTGGAGGGGGAGGGAAGGTGTTGAAGCCCCTTATCCCTCACTTCAACCTTTGGATGAGGGGGGAGGGGAGCCAGATCAATGATTATTTAATTTATTTAAAAAAAAAAAAAAAAAAAAAAATTATATTAAAAAAAAAGCTCATTACATTATTATGTATCCAATTTTAATTGAATCGGAGGGGGGGGGGTGCCCTCCCCCTTTAACCCATTCTTCTCTATCTCAACCCCAACCCTCAACCCCCTTTTGTGCCCAAAAAGTTGTGTATTTCGGGTCTCAGATTGAACTTCCTAACTTGAAGGAAGCAATGTTCAATAACTTGTGTTTTTCGTTAGGCTTAGCCATCATTGTTCAATGACAATTAATGGCACCATATAAATAATATTAATTAATTTAAAACTTGTCAGAAAAAATCTGAGGTGTAGGAACATCATGAATATCATTATTTACGGGATTCTTATAACTAAATTCAATTTCTGTTTAAGAAACTAGCTTTTTAAGGGTAAAAGTCCGGCATTGATTTTGCATGTTTCGTTATAACACATATATCAGTATGTGGGACAACAGTAAAATATTCACTCACATGTGATGGTTTGAAAACCGGTTTAAGTTGAAAATAACACAATTTAAAACGGAATTACATTTTTAATGATAATAATTCGGGCCATAAAAATAACTTTAAAAACATATTACGTACCAATTTGGGCGCTGACGGGCGAAAATGGCTGCACCACGTTACAAAGACATCTTCACGTTTGTGGTTGCACTGTAGGGGTAGGTCGTCGCAGTCCGGCAAAAAACATGTTCTGCGCATTCGTGAATAACTAGCAGGTCATTTTAACACCGAAAACTGAAGCTAGCGGGCTGGTTTATATCTCAAACACCGTAATTTCACACCTACGTTACCAAATTACGAAGGACATCGCGCCCGATTTTCGCGGTAAATTAATTGTTTTCTTATATTTACCGACCGATTTAATCATCATTCTTTCTACATATGTTCATGAGGGGTTGTACCTTCCTAATAAGATGAAACTTTCTGAGAAAATATCCTGCTAAATTTGTGTAAAATGCTAGAATTACCGCCGTTACGAAAAAAGTGCCTAGGACATCGTTGGTAACGTAGGTATTGTGTTTTTTCAATATGAAATAACTTGCCGATTTTTTGCACATTTCACTTGAGCTTCTCAGACATAGTAGGGGTACTAAAGGTGACATGTTTTAAGTAGGAAACATTGCATTATGATGAACTTTTTTCCAGAAATAAGATCATGAAAATGACATGTTTTCATGTCACAACTTTCACCCTCAAAATCGCTGAGACATCGGTAGTAAAACTCTCACCAAAAAAAAAATATGATGAAGAAGTTTCTGTTTTAATGTTTATTTATTCTGTACTACATTACTCTTCAATATAACATACTTTTATTTTTCTAAAAATACATTCAAATTTGAGTAAATAGCTTCTAAACATTCAAACACGTGAAAATGCTGAAAAGACCCAACCCGATGGAATGACCCATATGTTTTTCCTTTTTATTCAGAGAATTACCATAATAATTAAGCACGGTAACAGACCTCTTTAAACAAACAAAGTGTGATTATTAATATTAAAAGTACATTATACATCATGTACAAACACGGTAATGATATCATGAGAAATGACATTAAAGTTCAAAGAACCAATTGACCATGCAGAGTAAAGAAGAAAAAAACTTACCTTTTTGGGCAGTATATTTTAGCCAAGGTCGACTGGCTTTCCACGACTGGTCGAACTTTTGGCTGTATCCGTGTTTTCTGGATTTTTTCGGCCTTGTGCCATGCTGCTCGCCTACGAGTTCGACATCGGATTCGTCCTCCGTAGCGCCAACCGGCCCTGGGATTTCGTCAACCTGGGTGTCCACATGGACCTCAAGCTCTTCGTGCCTTTCTTTGCGAGCCCAAAATGCATTGAAGTCATTGTGGGCCTCATCCCCGTATACCTGGGTCTCATCAACGTCTGCTTCATCTACCCCGTATGGCTGGGTCTCAACCTCAGCTTCATCTACCCCGTATGCCTGGGTCTCAATGAGGGCCTGGAGTCCCTCTTCTCCTGGAATAGTCCAAGGATGGCGGAGGCACTCAGTGGCTCTGGTTTGCTGCAGAATTTATCTGTCCTGAGCTTGGGGTGCCTCTGGACATACTGCAGCAAACCGAGGGTTTTTGGAGATATTTTCTCCAAAAGACGAGATGGCAGGCAGCGGCGATGGTGATGCACTTGGTCAGGGGGTCGACGCCCAGATCAAATTCGCACAGTTTCGACACTTCTTTAAACAGAGTCCGGAACTGGAGACAGCATCTTCTCAAAATGTAGACGTCGCTGACACAATAGACATGAATCTCCTCCGACATGATGAACTCCCGCCCAGACAATACTTCTCCATCGTACCATGTCAGAAACTCTTCCCTCTTCTTGCTGGACATACTCTCTGGATAATAGTATTTGGCATCTGGCCTGGGTCCCTGATAGTCCATGTTGGCGTCGATGTTGAAAAGATGTGGAAAGAAGCCCTTCTTGACTTCTTCTACTCCGAAGGTGGCTGGCAAGGCAGAGAGAGGCATCGGTAAAAAATTCAAGGAGTCGATGACACGGATGCCATTGTTGGGCACGGTCATGCTCATAATCTTACCACCAGCCAAGATCAAACGGGGAATGATGCAGTTGCGATAGAGATGTTCCTGAATGAAAATTCCATCGTAATTTTTGAAGTTATGAGCGATGAATGTAGCACCACGGTTCTCTTCTGTGTCGAACACCCATTCACAAAAATCATCGCCGGTGTTGGGTCCTTGAAACACCCATTGTTTCTTCTCTACCTTGTCGCAACTTTTACAATCTTGTTCAAATGGATTATCTGCGCAATAACCACAAGCTCTTTGTGCCACGCAGTAATTGGGTATATGCTTGCCGGTATCTTGCGTACATTCAAAGTCGAAAAATACAAATTTAGCGTGCTTTGGTCTCTCGTCGTCGTTGTCTTGGGAACGGTTCTCATCTCGCTTATTCCTTCAAATACAGTGCTTGAATGAAGCCAGCCAGCCCTCATTTGATATGACGGGAAAAATGGCTGTTCCATGGCTTCAGCAATGGCCATCTTGTGTATTATGGACCGAATATTGGATGGTCTTGGCATGTCAAGATAATTATGGCGACCAAAAAAGAACATTAATTGCATAGTTAAATTGTGAGTGTAATTGTTGGTCTGGAGTGCATTCTGAATAATATTTTGATCATTAGTGGATAGATTCAGGAGAAAAGATCGGTGTGCTAAACGGGATGGCGGGTATCTGCCTGTTAAAATAAAAACTAAGGAGGTATGGGACATTGAGGGCGGTAAATATCCAGTGAGGACAAAACCATGACCTAGTTTTTGTTTTTCGTGGGAACGAGGGAATATGCATCTCTTTAACTACTCCCGAACCCTTGCCCGTTGCATATTCCCTCCACCATTGAATTGCAGAAGGAATTGATTACTCACAACAATCTGGATTCGGTGTCCATCATAAAATCTGCCCACCAAGCAGAGATTCTTCCTCATATGTATGCCCATACTTAAAATACTATTAAACAATTTTAAATGTTAACCCTTTCCTGATCTATTCTTAATGACTCTTTGAACAAGCGATCGGTCTCCTCGCGGATCATCAGAGACTGGGCCAGTGTCAAGAAAAGGAGAACACAATCTGTCTACCTTCAACCAATTTATAACCATGGTAGTGTATATTAATTGAGCTATGTATATAAAAGTATAAAATCAAATGCAAAGAAAGCAGTTGGTGTTGGGTCGAAGCCACATGGTGGCTCCACATTCATACATGTGATGAATACCATCGGGTCTTCCAGCTTGACCTTTCTCTTTGTTGTGCCTGAAACATACTCCAACAATCCGGATTCCGTATCCATCACAAAATCTCCCCACCACGCTGAGATTGTCTCCTCTTTGATGCTTGCATTTGATCCGTGCAGGGAGTCGCTTTTCTCATTGAACAAACCTAGGATGGCTGACGCACTGATAGGCTCCGGTTTGCTGCAGAATTGATCTGTCCTGAGCTTGGGGTGCTTCTGGACAGACTGCAGCAAACCGAGGGTTGAGAGTCCCTCTCTCAGTCTGCCAAAAAAATAATCCTCGAAATTTGGAATACTCCATATCCACCACCCGCATGACATCCTCTCCTCCTACTTCCTCCATGTTTTAGGAATCTAAAGTCGGATAAATTCTGCCGAATTTCAGGGGCGTTTACAATGTTTGTTATTATTTGAAGAAGGAATTCAGAACTATACATATACCACGAAATGAACAGAGTGTCTGATCATGTTTGTGAAACAACAAATTTATGCTCATTTTGATCTGAATTAAAACTTAGTACAATCCTGCCATCAAGTGGTAGTGTATTTGACCCAGTAGCAAAATGCAGAAAAAAATCTTAGTTGTTGTGGATTTAAACATTCCATACACGTCTGCAGTCACATAACAATTTGTAACTCTTGGTTGTGATATAATGAAGAATGTTCTGGCCTAAAACATTCATTGACTCGTTCGTAATTAATTTTGAGATTGCGTAATACTGCCCTAACCCTATCATCGCTTACTCCTTCAAATATAGTGTTGGAATCGAGCCAGCCAGCCAGCCTTCATATGATGCAACGGGACAAATGGCTGTTCCACGGCCTCAACTATGGCCAACCTGTGAATTATAGACCGAATGTTTGATGGTCGTGGCATATCACGCACATTATGGCGACCAAAAAATACTTTAATTGCATAGTTAAGGTACATAATTACATATTTACAAATGTACATAATTACACATATACAAATCAACAATCTCCGGTCAACTACAACGAGGAAGTGTCTAGTGTCCTTGAGCTCTCAACGCGTATCCAACCTTTCTACACTTGGTGTTGACCGCCTCACAGATCTCCTTCTGGAATGAAGTCGTTGCCGTAGAGCCCGGAAACTGCTGTCCGACTTGCGCGATGATGGCCTGGAACGCCGGCTTTCGTTTCAAACTCTCCTTGGTGACCCACTCCTTCCCCGTGTACACTTCCCCACCGCGGAAGTTGCTCCTCGCCAACTCCTCCCTCTAAAAACACCTTGGTGTGCAGCCTGATGGTAAGGGATTTTGGACCTAAACATCCCGAAGCGCATCATCATAGTCCAGCTGGTCCATGGCAAAGGTGTTTCCCTCTGCTCCAATCAGGAATAGTCCCAGGATCGCTGAGGCACTCAGTGGCTCAGGTTTGCTGCAGAATTGATTTGTCCTGAGCTTGGGGTGCTTCTGGACAGACTGCAGCAAACCCAGGGTTGAGAGTCCCTCTCTCAGTATGCCAAAAAGATAATCATTGAAATTTTGAATACTCCACATCCAGCACCTGCACAACATCCTCTCCTCCTACTTCCTTCTCTATGTTATAGGAATCTAAAGTCTGGTAAATTCTGCCTGAATGTCAGGAGAGTTTACAATGTTTGTCATAATTTGAGGGAGGAATTCAGAACTATACTATACCGTGAAATGAACAGATTATTTGAACATGTTTGTGAAACAACAAATTTCATTTTGATCTGAATTAAAACTTATTATGATCCTGCCATCAAGTGGCAGTGTTCGAACTTTGGGTATTCGAACCTTGGGTATATGAAGGGATTCTTCTACCCATTTTATAACATACTTTGGATGCATAGTCTAAACTTTTTATGTTGTCTTTTGCAAATCATCTTGAATTCTCCCTCTAACAGCTCTTGCAGATGCATTTCCTTTCCTTTATCGTTTTAACTCGCTTTCTGAACAACCAGTTAATCAGACAATGATTCGACTCGATTAAAACTGTGGTTAGATTTGAACATCTTGCCAAAGGACTGTTAATGAATGATACAATTAAAATATAGTTATATTAATTTGAATGAAAATATCAGTGGCAATAATTATTATAATAAGGTCATAATGATATTAACGAAAAGAAAGATTGTGGTAAAGGAAATAATTTGAACTATGAATGATAATATGAATAATAATTCTCAACAAAACATATTGCTCACATGTGTAAAATATTTTACAACTACACCTCTTCCTCCACTGCCTCCCCTTCCTCTAACCCATCCTCTATCCTCCACCTCCGCCCTCCATAGCCTGCAGAGCCGCCAACTCGGCCTCCTCATCTGCCAGGTTTAGGATCATGTTATCTGGAGAGAAAAAAACTTTACATTTTGCCCCCCCCTCCCGCATACACATCACTACACTGAAAACTCATAGCAATTATCAACAAAGCACACGCCCATTCTCACTCCTACACACAATCCTATTCCTACTCCTGTAATCACTTCCATTGACGCTCCCATGGACACTCTCATACACACTCACATTCACAGTTTTCACACTCCCTTTCACACTCCCATCCTGATCATACAAACGTTCTAAATACCCTAGCTATGGTCTGCTCGCCCATCCCATGATCGACCCATGACCCAGAAGTGTTTGGTATTTCAACC